AGAAAAAGACAGACATCTAGAAGCAGAAACATAATGTAAGTAAGGAATGATGAAGAGAAATGCTCAGAGATGAAAGGGGACTCAAAGTAAAGTCATGAATTTGAGGAAAGAAATAGGCCACACTGAGGAAGAGAGCCACAGGCAGGGGAACGCATGGAGCAGGTGATGGACAGAGAGGAGAGGAGATGGTCATCCCAGAGATATCACTAAGGTGAGAGGCCCACCTCTCACTAACCCATCTCCATTTCCTAGACACAGTGCTGGCAACAGAAGAGTTAGCTACCAAGAGCTGCATGGCTGTTGAACACCATGACTATGAAATTGTTGGAATGGTGATGTTTATAATGAGTGAGAGTCATTGGCAATGGAGTGATGTGTATGCGATCCCTAACTCATGAGATTATTCAACAGGATTTCTCATGGGGATTTTCTTTCCAGGGACATCTCCTTGGCTACTCTGTTTTAAATTATGATCTCCCTCTCATACTGCTCTTCCAATTCTTTGTTGGATTTTTCTCTACTCACTTTGTGATATTCTACGTACTTATGGGAGTTACTTTCCACCTCCTACCCTACTAGCCTGTAATTCAAAAGAGAAGAGAGTTGAGTCTCAGTGCCACCACATGCCACTACAGTCTATTCTAGTGCCAGGCATACCATAGATGGAAACACTCAGTGACCCTTCCTCAAAAGAACCATGAGTTCAGCCTAAGGAACCTTCCGATTGCTGCATGCCCATTGCTTGGTTATATAACTCTGTTCTGCTATGGTAAACTGGGAAACAGGGTGCATTCTGTCTTGCTTTTCCAATATGGTATAGAGATGAGTGCTACATGACAGCACATCTACTTCCTTAGTGGAACAGAAGACATAAGAGTCAAAAAGCTTTCGGGTATTTATACAATGAGAGCAGGCCTTAACAAGTACCATCTCAGAGAAATGCTTTCACTTCATCCTTCTCTGCAGATATGGAAAATAATCCTGGGCAGCAATATTATGCTTCCATGGTTACAGAGAATATTATGCTTTTCTAGGACCAAACATAATTTTGATCCTTGCCAACCATGTTTTTGAACATGCACTGCTGAAATCAGGCCAGCCAAGCAGAACCAAAGTAATTTACTCAGACCAAATCCGTCTTACAGTAAAAGCCAATGAGGCAAACCTTGTGTGTTAGTGACACCTACCTAGGGCTGATCCTTACGATCTGTGCAGGAAGTTACCTTCCAGGGAACAGTGTAACAAAACTATGGAAAACACTGGCGGCAGTGCCTTTTTGCTTCCAGACTCCTATTTCCATAGGAGAGTTGGCTATCAGTCCTGGACTAGACCCCTTGCTAGCAGAAGTGTGTGGCCTATCACTTGAACTTCATAGAGTTGCTCTCATGACTTAGTTAGTGCTGTAGAGCACTTTCAGTAACTTCAAGTTTTTGCCAGATGGCTCTTTGCAAGTTAATGTGATTACTAGAATGCTGTAGCTTACAATGACACTATCTAAAAATCTCAACAGGCATGCCCTAGCCTTTCCTAACAGCATGCAGAGGCCCTGGCGCTCATGGAGATAGAGCCTTGATTTTCTTTATCTAGGAGCACAATTTACTTTTACAAAAGGGTAAAAGTTAGGAAGGAGAAATTTCTCCTGACTGTTTTGTTTGTTCTCTCTTTCCCTCTGTCTGTCTCTCTGTTTGGAGATGCAGTCTTCTTACCTGGCCCAGGCTGCACTGCACAGGTGGACAGTGCTTTCACACATTCCTTCCCCTCACATCCTGTGTCTCTTTGTGGCCCTGAGCTATACCTTATCTAGAGATGGGTGCTGAGTGTGGGGAGAAATTGGAAGCAGCAGGTGTAAGCTATTCTCAAGACATTTGGCTTTGATGGTAACTGATGATGAAGAAGTTGGAGGAATAACTGTAGGGCTTGCTTGCATGTCTATCCTTGGGGAGACAGAAACATGTTTAAAAATCCAAGGACTGGAATGTAACTTAATGGTAGAGTGGTTGTCTAGCACATGGGAGGGCCTCGTTTTAATCCCTAGTACTGAAAGAAATCATCAAAGAGACAAAGATGCAGAAGCAAAAGTTGCATCTCTTTCATTAAAACAAAATAGGGGGAAATAATTAGAAAAGAAAAAATATAACTGACATTCTGAATACTAAAGAGAGGGAAGAGAGATGAACTTAGGTGAGATGGAGAAAGCCTCAACCATAGGAAGAAACACAGTGGAAATAGTATGAAATGGGTTGAGAAAAGATAACCACGTGACGTGGCTGCCATTCCTGTTTGTGTACGCTGTGATGCTCACACAACACCAACCCAGCCTAATGGCATCTTTCTCAGACTGTGTCATGCCAAGAAAATACATGACTATGGATGGAAAAGAGGGATGTTCTTCTGCTCTGCAGAATGGGTCAGAGCTACAGGTAAATTTCTGCTCAGGAACCATGGCAAGAAACTAGAAGTCTGTGTACAAACTCAGTCTGCCCTATAGACAAGGTGTCTCTTTGGGTTTTAAAGCCGCATTCCAAAGCATAGTGGATGGAGGGTCACTAAAATAGACCACATGCAATTAAAATGGCATTAACACATTCATGTTAGAGCCTATCTACTAACTAAATATCCCCATGGCATGGGAAAGGTGTACATTATCAATGACCATGGAATGGAGCAAATATCAGGCTAGGACAGTAAGGGACTGACACTGAAGAGTTACTTTTCCCTGAAGAAATTCGCCTTCTTTCCCCACTCCCACATGCTGTGGGAGATCTTGCCAGACTGCATGTGGCCTAGATCATGTTCAAACAGCCTGGTTTCATTATCTGATATATATTGTTTTTAATGTCCACCCCCCCCCCCCCCATTAGTGGTAAAACCTGAACTGAAGCCAGTCAATCACTCTACCACTGAGCTATGTTCTCAGCCCTTTTGGTGTCTTTATTTAAGCTTCACGGATACTTTCTTTAGGTCTCAACAGAAATTACAGCCTTAAAATAAACATACAAATATACTGAAAACTATTTTATAATTCAAATAAATAATAATAAAAGAGGAAGAGGAAACTCTCTGTACATGTCCTCTCCAAAGAGACATGTTAGTAACTTCAGACCTACATAAAAGGCAACAGAGATTACTAAATTCCATCATCTCCTCTCAATGTCTTAATGGCATAGTCTAGAGAATTGCTCCCATATTGAGTAACCATGGTAACTTGCAGAACCAGATTCTAGCAATGTTTGGGAAAACATGAGTGGGAGCACTTCAGAAGGGCAACATGGTTCCATCTACTTGTGAAAAACAGGAATAAGATGCCTAGCCTAGAACTAGAAAGCCACAGTCTTCTGAAGAACAACCACAGAATCTGGAAAGAAGACACCTTAGAATTCAACTCATCTAAGCCCTCAATTTTAACAAAGAAAATGAGGCCCAGAGGCTGACTGGTTTCTCCAGGATCATCTAGTGTTTGGTAGAGAAAAGCACTTAATGGTCCTTACTCAGCACTCTGTCCACCATCGCCTACTTGTTTCTAATCCAGAAAGCCCCGAAACAGGGAAGGGTCCCAAGATTCATTTTTTCCCCAATCTAGGTCTCTATCATCTTTTCTACTTTTTATTGCTGTGGTAGAAAGAAGGACAATATACTCATGAACCTGCTGTCCACAAATGTCAACTCCTGGCAATCTTTTTTCTTTCATGCTTTTGTAATTTCTATCCCTGAAGATCGTTCTGAGTGTTCTTGGGTACCCTTTTTGTTCATTAGACAGCAAATACTCAACTTTGCTACCTGGGAGCACAACAGAGACACTTATCTCTGGGGATCTTGGTTTCCCTGTTGCTCACACTTGTGCTGTGTCTAGTATTTTCTATTCTGTTTCACAGTGCAAGGACACAGGATGGTCTTACATAGGCCAATAAGATCTGCTCTGTGATTGTGTGCACATGCTGATGACTCCAGACTAGTGTGATAAGAAATTTTGATAAAGCAATAGTTTTGGACAATAAGCATGGAGAAAGCTGAACTTATATCAAGAGATCAATGCCTTTCATCCTTAAACAAAATTCCATGGACACGTAGCATTTGTTTAAACTGAGTTTAGAATCAAAATTAATTTAAACCAGAAGTCCATGTAAAAGGTCCAAAGCAATGAGATTCTTTTATTGATTTTTTTCTCCATACACTGTATTCCTTTCAAGCACACTTTGCTATATAGCGTGCTGTTAGACAACCCAGGCTGGCCTCCAGCTCATGGTTCTCCTGCTCACCCTCCGATGGATTGGTACACATGCCATCATGCCCAGTCCAATGTAATTCTTGATGTTCAATAAGTCCACAAAATAAATGACAATGAAATAATTTCCCAACATCTTTTTTACAACAGAGACTATTGGTTTGTTCTAAGGACATGATGGGAATTTAAGATTAAACAACACTTCCTTCATTACGTCATTTAAATCCTATATCTGGAAAAACTACAACAAAGAAGACATTTAAAAAAAAAGATATTCTGAGCCAGGAGTAGTAGCTCAGAACACCCCTATAATCCTAGCACTTAGGAGGTGAACTCAGGAGGATCAGGAGTTCAAGACCAGCAATGGTTATAGAGTGAATTCAAGGTCATCTTGTAATAAGATCTTGTTCAAAGAAAAATAAAGTTTTAATAAACAAAAATGTCTCTACTAGTAGCAGTAGGTATGAAAAAAATGGGTGTTCGAGGTCACAATGCTCATGCATGCCATCTCCACCTCCAACCTTCCCTCTGCTTTGTCACATATTGGTATCTATATGAATTTACAAAAATGTGTTTTAATTAAGGCTATATTAGAAAGCCAAAATCAGAACAAAATTAGGGAGTCAGAGCTATTGAATTGTTTTATCCTTAAGTGAAATAATTTCATTTTAAATAAAAAGTTAATATTTTGGGGGGAAAATATCACAGAAACTATTCAGTTCAACTGGTTAGAAACACCAACAGTTTATCCATTTGGCAACTGTGATAGTAATCATACCTGCTGACGTTTCTCTAAATTTGTCACTGGTCTTCTTTTTCCTCCATTTCCAAGGCTTGAAGATTTTACCGATGGTGGAGAGTTTCCCCTTTCTCTTGAAGGGAGGGGTCTGGGAACCTGCCGGGGGGCCATCTGAGTTTGCTATGGAGGCTTTGTCTAGTCCATCGACTGTAGAAAGAAAAGGAGGTTAGAGGAAAGCTGCAATAAACACTGGCAGCAACACTATCTGTCTTTTCTTGGCCTGTTAACAGCAACCTTGCCTGCAGTCTTTGGAATCTCACATAAAGTCTGTTTTGTCCCATTCTGCAGCTGGTAGGACTCCCTTGATGTTCCTCCGGGAATCAATCAATCATAAGTTATAGCCCCCCCCCCCCCAGGTAATCATTTGGGGGAAACAGAAAAGAAGCAAGAGACTTACATAAGAGTTAGGGCCAGACAAATAAAGACCCCTGAACCACACCTGAGACCATCTGCAACAACATATCACTATTTTGTGCAGGAGTTGAGTATTCTCAGTATTCCTGAAACAGGATGCTATTCCGCAGCTAGTTTGGCATTCTCAGCAAGGACTTCACAGTCATGGTGCCATGAAAACCATGCTTTCTCCTTCACAAAATAAAGTTTGGTGCCAGAAAGTTAAACTCTATTTATAAAAGTATAATATATTATTATATATATTATATAATATATTATATTATATTAATATATTATATTATAGTAATATATATTATTGTATACTTCTGTTACAGCAAAGTTTTCAGCCTCAAATAAACTGGTAGCTATCATTAACAACAAGCAATATGTTGAAATGTGGGTATGGCAGGCGACAGAACATCATCTTCATCTGCCTGCAGAATTTTGCCCGCCAGAAGACGGTCACCCTCTCCAGTTGCCCTACAGTAAGTTCCAAACAGAAAGGAGGCAATAATGACCAGAATCACCCCAACTCCAGATTTTAGTGCCCAAAACCTAGAAGCAGCCCACAACGACAAACTGTGGTATTACTAGTTACTAAAACAGCACTTCGTTTTTTTTATAAAATTGGTATATGGACAAATATGTAATCAGTTAAATACAGTTAAATCAGTTAAATACAACAAAATGTTAAGTTATTGGACTAGGTGGTAGATGTATGAGAGATTAAGTCTTCTGTCTTCTCTGAAGTTTTAGAAACCATTAGAATAAAAGATTAAGGGGAAAAGCAAATACCAATAGGATTTATATAGCAAAGACTTCCCTGAGTGGAAGATGGTAGAACTCTGTTACTCTTGTTATAACCATGCATAAATCATTAAACAATCAACATGAGTGCATTTCAAAAATACCACGCTGAAAAGGCCACAAAGAAGAGGTGACACACTGTGTGGTTCCAGTTTTACCAAGTTCTAAAATAGGCAAAATGAATCAACAATAAAATTAAAAAAAAAAAAACAACGAAGAAGAAGAAGAAGAAGAAGAAGAAGAAGAAGAAGAAGAAGAAAGAAAGAAAGAAAGAAAGAAAGAAAGAAAGAAAGAAAGAAAGAAA